TTAGTTGGTTACGAGCCTTGGATTTGATATGGACGAGAGCAGAAAATCCACTTCTACAAAGGTAAGTGGAGGCAAATGGAACAATAACACGTAATGCTCCCATCGATACTTTTGGGTCCGAGGGAAAATGGCGCACCAAAACTGAGAAAGTGATTTGTGAGAAAGTTGCTGAGGACAGCATAACATAAAACGCATTGCGGTTTTTCCTTGCCACCCTCTGACACTGAGGTAAACCCCATTTCTAGATTCAATTTCTTGATTTAGCCATGCTGGTTAAGTTTTAGCAATGACATTAAACAACATGATGCGCAACTCCGGCATTTTTGTCCGAAGATCGTATTCGATAGCACGCTCCAATGCACATACTTGACGAGACGAAAACGAGCGGATGTGTGCTGCTTTCAAGGCGTAGCACGAATGGTGTTCGTGCCTGCTTTGACAGTTGTTGTCGATTTTAATGATATTTTCGAAAGTTGGGGTAAAAAGAAATCGGTAAAAGGTAAGGTGAATACTATTGTTGTATATCACACCCGGGCATCGCACTGTTAAGTACATGTGGGAAAGCCAGCCTTTGTCAAATACTACGAAGTTATTAATTCAGTACGGTACGTAGTTGCCCATTTGCCAAAATTACATATTTACTTACCCCTTATGGTTTCAAATAGTTCATGCACCTCCAGTTAGATTTTTTTAATCAGTGAGGATATATACTCATTGTTGATTGCTGCTCATTGTAACATACTATTACGCATTCACTTTTATTTGCGTATTGAATCAAAGTGTTAACAAGTTCACCTAACATTTCACTCATACCGGTCTATATTGTATAGTCTGATTTCTCAAGTATTTGGAGTCACGAATGCTTGTAATTTTCTGACTAAACCCTTTTATTAGTTGGTTTATATACCAAATTCAGTAAAATATTTTTTAAATAAAACATGAGATATTGGATTTATTAGCTTTTCCATTCTGAATCATATAGACTGCTTTATTTATTCTTAACGAAAATTAATAAATCTCCTCTCTTTCTTCAGATGTGAAAGTTGTGGACAAACCTGTCTAAGCATTGTGAGACTCTTGCAGCACAAGAGGCAATAGCAGAAATAGTAAGTATATCAATCAAGAAATTAAGCCGACATAAAGCAAAACTTTCAACTATTCGTCTAATCTCAATTTCCTATTATTTATTCACAGGACAACTATAGCAGACGGGGAGATATCAGAAGTCTGGCGACATATCAGTGACAGTGTGATTCCAAGAAATATAATGCAATAGAAAATAGAAATTTGCAATAGAAAAACAACCTATGGAGGCATGCAAAGACATTTGACCCTCCGGTAGAGTTGTGTATGGCCCCCACATCCTGCAGGGCTTGAGGAAAATAACTAAAAATTCCAAAGCGTAAGATTGCATAAGCGGTCTTATTTGTAAAAAGGCACAAAACACGCCAGACATACTTAAAACAGCTTTGGAAATGAGGATTACGGGTACCTCACTGCACCTGTGTTATATTTGGTTCATCAACTTTTGGTAGTACTATAGAAGAAATTCCGGAAGGGGTATAATCATCATTCATGATAAAATACTATCATATATTTTTTGAACAACTTCAATCTAGACCAGGGATCTCAAACTCGCGGCCCCAGAGAACTTCCAGTGCGGCCCTCGAACGCTTAACAATAATTGTAATAGTATTTTGGAAGTTTTTTTTTTATCTACCGTAAATGTAATAGATTTTTCAAACCTTCTAAAGTGAAATTGATTATTCACACAGAAAACAATTTACTGAAAGTAGTTTTGGAATATTAATTTTTTTTGTCCACATTTTGACCCAATTAAGAATACACATCAAGCTAGCAAAAGAATACTTGAATAAAACACTTGAGTAATTAAATTAAACGCAAAGTACATGAAGAAGGTGGCATTTTCGAAGAAAATGGGAGTTGTAACATTTCTGCTTTTCACAAAATTCTGAAGCACATTGTTTAATTTGTCATATTTTCATCAATACAATCAAAAAACACAATAAGCTCAGCAGTCAATATGACAAATTCGAAGACCAACTTCGAACAGAAAATTTCCATGTGTTTGTATATTAATATAATTATACAACGACTTAGTTACTAAAAATCAATATCAATAATAATTCAAGCAATCCTATGCCACGCAATGTAGTGCGAAATGTCTTGTCGAAAAAATCTGTCATTTGTTTTTTTACTGATCTATACATGAAATGATAAAAGTAACTTTTTTGCATTACTGGAATTAATTAAACATTCGTAAAGATCCAGATAAACCCATGATCATGTGGCCTCGTTAGTTAGAGTTGGTACTATAAAATCATTTCAGACTGGCCTTAGTATGCTGGTGACACAAAAAAGATGCCAAACGCCAGGACAAATGTAATTAATAAAACATTGAGTTTATACTGTAGTATTTTTGTTAATTTTAGGTTCATATATTTAGATTAAGTTATTTTTAGTGTATGTATTATTCTTTCCTTATTCAAAGCTTGTTCAAAAATGATTTTGATGGTTGTACATAGAATTTTACGATTTTTTATAATAAATACTGTAACTTGCAAATGTTGCAATAATAGTGGAATGCAAATATTAATATGTAATTGCATTTGAAATTGAAGAAAATAATAAAACTTAATCCAACTGTTTAGTTGCATCACAATATATGTCACAAACTAAAACTATCTTAAAAATATCTGGTTAAGTATACATTATCAAAAACTGTTTGCGGCTCTTTTTACAATTTTCAAAATGCAATGCGGCTCTCGAAAACCCATGAGTTTGACACCACTGATCTATTCTAGACGATTCAAGCATTGCTTTGGGAAATTATATCACTTCAATTAAATTGAAATAATCTCGCTATATTAAATACAAAATCGTTGCTATCATAAAGGTAAACCAATTCAGCCACTCGAAATATATTGGCCTTCACAAAGCAATGGAGGCAAAATTGAGAGTTCATGAGCTATGAACATTTGTTCTTTTCTTTGTCTTGAACTTTCCATACTCCACAGCCCCTATTAATTTTTTTCAATTTCAATTACCATGTGATGGTCATACATATCTTTAACTTGTATTTTCTGTCATGATGTATTATCTCAATGTGCCAAACTATTAATTAGTGTGCATATTTTGCTTCCAGATGACATAAATGTATTGTCATGTTTATTACCTCAGCTTGGAGTATTGACAAGAAAAAGGTGCCAGTAAATTAGGTAAAAAAATTTTCAACTCATTGTTATAATCAGAATTCACAATCAATAGGAATTATAAACAGCCAACAATCAGTGAGAATTATATGCGAAATCCCTCAGAATAAATTTGTCTAAAATCGGCAAAAAGGCAAAAAATATAGGTAGTTTCCATCCACACAAGCATTTCAAGAAGACTTGCTCGAGCCAAACTAAATGAGCATCGTCGGGTGATCGGTAAGGCTGCAAGTTGAATTCAGCCCTGCAACCTCCTGCATAGAAGATAATATTAATTAGTGGGCTATGAGCTAAATTCCTAAATTTAAACAAACCTATCTACGATGCATTATGTACCAGCAATGTTACCTACGATTAACTGAATATGTAATATGTCTAATAAATTCACCTACAAAAGCAAGTTCGATAGGTGCAAACTTTGTGTTATGGAATTGTATCGCAGCACAGTTTTGTATGACACCCTCTTTAAATGAAATTTCAATGATTAAGCGCAAACATTAAAATTACTAACTTTGAACTTTGTCATTATCTGCAAAATGTTCCACACAAATCTTTCCGCTATCGCGTTTGTAATCTTCTCTGATAAAAAAAAAACGTCTATGATGTCCAGAATTGCTCTTTACAGCTTGCCTGTTATTCCAGCTTTCCAAGTAAGCAAAACTTCTTAGATATAGAGATTATTTTGTTTCGTTACAGGCGCAAAAAGACAGGTACTACACGTAAAAAAGACGCCGAGTAGCAAAAGCGAGCGGAAAACGGACGCGAAAGGCGACGAGAAATATGTGCATTGGAGCGTATCATGAAATACAATGTTTTGCCTGTAGTCTTATGGAGTGACGTCAGAGTTGCCTATCATGTTGTTTAATGTCATTGGTTTTAGAAAGCAACACAATCTCCTTTGTTGGCTGTAGAACAACTAGCTACTTCGCTTCAAATGAGAACGTGACCAGTGACCACATACCCTTGAATCACTGTAGCTGCGTTCTCGTATTTATCATTGCGATGTCATAACTCGTATTTGTCACAATAGGTCTACGGGAGATAAATCAAAATAGTTTATGTAGGCTATTGTCATAGGCACCAAATGTTCGAGCGTATTACAAATGAAAACGATATTAAACTGCAAATAATTTCCTAAAATCTAAATTTAATCGCGGACCCCCTGGAAACGCTTCGCGGACCACCGGTTGAGAACCACTGAACTAGAGCTACCTGAGCTGCAATGCACTGAGGAAATCCATATCCTGTTCGAGAGATGTATCACTGCTTGATTTTTATAAAAATTATCAGCTCGAAGGAAATCTTTGTGCAAATTTGACAAACCATGCGGAAAAACGCACATCGATGTTTGGAAGTACATAATATGTATATTATGCGTGCGAATTATTTTTCGAAAATGAACATTACAAAGAACAATCTGAGAACTCGGATTAGTGATGCACATTTAGGGAATGTTAAAAATCTCCGAGATCAGAATTACAACGGTTCTTTAGCGAAACACAGACGGATTTGATAAAACGTGATAGATTGTAAGGAATAAATATGTGAATTCTTTCTTATCGTACCTTGCTTAGGGCCAAAACATCAGAAAATCGTGCGAGAAGTGGAACTCTTGGACACGGCTAAGTAATCACAGTGGTTAACAATTTCCTCTATGAACTTCGATTAAGTTGGAACCGATGCCCCCAGGGAAAACATGATGGAAAGAGTTGTTAAACATAAATAATTTGTCCTGATATTGAATCATAAGAATATATACCAAGAAGATAACTTGCCAACATCCACCAATATATTCTCAAAAAAATATGGCACACAACTTCAGGTGAACAACGTCATGGTGTAGGTTGAAAGGAACATGCAATATTGGCAAAACTCTGGAACAACTAGTACTATACTGAGATCGTCATACAAGATGAAAAGGTCTCAAAACGAGATATTGACATGACATAATAAAATATGTTCGCACCACCTCCAGGCCTCTTCTATTGATTGAATTTTTGAAAAAATTCCTAAACATAGCCCATTGTGGTAAACAAGTTTATATTTTGTGCTTAAAAGTATCACTTATGTAATCATATTCCACATCACAAAGCTCTTGTAATCGGTAATTACCACATTAAACTCGGAAATATTGTGAAATGAACTAACAAAATCTAAATACCATTTGTTACTCATTAGATAAGTATGTTCTATAAATAGTGTCTCCAACTGCAGGCAACAAAGGAGTCTGATTGAATTATTACACCGGAAACAAGGAATGGTTGGTTATCTTGACCCTCTTCAAATATCTAATATTCTATAATTGCTAAACATCAATTTTCTAGTTTCATTTTGGCAAAACTGGTTGCTATTTCAATAGCTTTGTCTAATTCAAGCCATTTCTTCCCGACAGCTTGGGCATTGAGGTCTTTGCCACCACCTTTTCCATCAATTACCTTTGATATTTCTTGAACCCATTCATTTGCTTTTAATCCAGTAGAAGCAGTTTCTTTTGAAACTTGACTCAGGCAGACAATTTTTTCTGCTTCTTTATCTACACTCAATAACATAACAGCAGTTTTTGGGGAATGGCTTTTATACAATTTCATGGCTTCATTAAGTGCTTTTGTATCAGATGCAACATTCAGTTCCATTACAACAAGAGGACAATTTTGATCAGCAAATATTTTCTCTTTTGTTGTTTCCAGCATTTTCTTCACAGCTTCTTGTCTTGCTGCACGATCAGCATCGTCTAATTTCTTTTTCACAGTTTTTGCACGCTCTCTGAATTCATCTTTCTTCCATTGTGACATAACAGAGCTTCCAAGTTCTTCTGTAAACTCCGTTATTTCCTTAACAAGAGCTCTAGAAGAAATATTTCCACTTTTACAGTGATCAAGGCTGCTTTCTATTTGTTTCAATGCTCCTTCATGAAGATCAGCTTTTCTATCAGCACGTGCTGCCTCAGCTCCAGTAACACCAACAATACGACGAATACCTTTGGCGATGGCTTCTTCAGATACAATAATAAACTTTCCAGCATGACCGCTATTCAGTAAGTGGGTGCCACCACAGAATTCCACTGAAGTAACCTTTCCAGCTGGTGAAGTTGGATCTTTGATCATGTCATCAACTGGTTTTCCAACAGAAAGAACCCTAACAGGGTCAGGGTAGGTTTCATCAAAAATTGCACGCAGACCTTGAATTGCTTTAGCATTAGCGAGTTCGCAAACTTTTGCATACACAGTTTCCTTTTTACTGATCATTTCATTGACAATTCTTTCGGTTTCTTTTATTTCTTTAGCATTCATGGCTTTTTTGGCGGTAAAATCAAATCGCAATCGGTCAGGAGCGACAAGGGAGCCACGCTGATCAGCTTCTCCTAAAACTTTTCTGAGTCCAAAGTTAAGCATATGTGTTGAAGTGTGGTTACTCATCACAGATCTACGTCTTTTTTCATCAATATATAAGCACACTTCATCACCCACGCTCAATGTACCAGCAACCGTTCCAGTATGAAGAACATAACCACCATGCACCTGGCAATTTTTAACGGAAAATTCTGTTTGATCGTCATTTGCTTTATTGATGTAACCTTGGTCATAAATCTGGCCACCTTGTTCAGGATAGAAGTTAGTTTTGTCAAGAAGCAATCCACAAAATTGACCGGAAGAAACCGAATCCACAAATTTTCCTTCACATCTTATTTGCTTCACAACACCTGTGATCAAGTCAAATTTATAATTTCCGTTTTCATCTGCAGTGTACGAATACTTAGGACTGTTGTCTGTTGGTGGGAGACCAGACTTTTGTAGCTCAGTAATTGCATGAACATCAAATTTTACTGTGTCGTCAATAAGAGAGCCTTCACTTTGAGATCTCAATTTGGCTTCTTGCTTGGCATTCTCAAATTCATCCATATTCACAGACATACCATTTTCCTCCACCATAAGTTGAGTGAGATCAACAGGAAATCCATAAGTGTCATATAGAAGCCATGCTACATCACCTGGTAAAACTTTTCCACCATCTGGCAGGTTATTAACTTTCCTTGTTAAAATTCGATGACCACGTGTCAAAGTTTTGAGGAATTGTTCTTCTTCTTCATTGATAATGTCTATAATAGACTGAGGATCTTTGGCAATTTCAGGAAAAGCATCACCTAATATTAGTACAACCACATTAACGATTGATCCAAAGAATCCAGGTTTAGCATTGAGTTTTTCACTTGCGAATCGTACTGCACGTCTAAGAATTCGTCTCAACACATATCCTCTGCCAGTATTATCAGGACGACCGCCATCTGCCAATGCAACAGTTAGTGTCCTGGCATGATCTGCCAGTACTCTGTATGCCATATCGATACCTCCCTCATCTTCTTCTCCTAATTTACCAGCATAGGGTCTAACACCGATTGTTTTTTCAATGTATTCGAATATTGGCATGAACATGTCTGTGTCGTAATTGGATCGTTTATCTTGAATAACTGATACAATTCTTTCTAATCCCATACCAGTGTCAATATGTTTTTTAGCTAAAGGTTTCAACCCACCTCCGGATTCTCTATTGAACTGTATAAAAACCAGATTCCAGATTTCAAGAACGTCAGGATCATCCATGTTTACCAAATGAGCAGCATCACGTCCACCAATTCTGTCATAATGAATCTCGGAACAGGGTCCACAAGGTCCAGTATCTCCCATTTCCCAGAAGTTGTCTTTCATATCACCTTTAATAACCCTGTTGGGTTGCACACCCATTGACAACCAAAGATCTCGAGCTTCATCATCTGCAGCAAGGCCACTGCCTTCATGGCCTTCGAAGTATGTCACATATAGCCGATCTCTAGGAATTTTGAAGACTTCGGTAAGCAACTCCCATGCCATTTCAATAGCTCCCTTCTTGAAATAGTCACCAAATGACCAACTTCCGAGCATTTCGAAAAAAGTATGATGATATGTATCTTTGCCAACATCATCCAAATCGTTGTGTTTTCCACCGGCACGGATGCATTTTTGAGAGTTCACTGCACGATTGCACTTCGCTAATGGACTGGATGGATCGATAGTTCCAAGAAATATTGATTTGTACTGATTCATTCCTGCATTTGTGAAAAGCAATGTTGGATCATCAAGTGGAATTGTTGCAGATGAATGTACATACCAATGTTCATATTTCTTTTTGAAGAAATCAATAAACATTTGACGAATCTTTTTCGAGGTGAGACTGGAATCCATTATATTGCTTAGTAAAGAGGTATAGCAAATATGAATACTCTGTCTGAAACAACAAATCCGAAACAACCAGTGATATAAAATAAAAATTCGAAGGTGTTGCCAAAAGATGTGTCAAAATTTCGACTCACCTAATAGCAATAAAATTTATTCACACACTCGCACATAGTGATATACCGCAGTACAACCACAAAGATAAAATGATATTTGAAAAAACATGGAAAGGCACTTTATTGTTTTTTAAACACCAATTATGAATAGTCTCTATATTCGAACATTCTGTTACCAGGTTACAGGCGGTATAAGCCTATGAATAAAAAAAATTGTTAATTAAAAAAAACAGACCCAGAAGTTGTCTTTCATATCACCTTTAATAACCCTGTTGGGTTGCACACCCATTGACACACAAAGGACGCAATAATTTTTATAACAATGATATTGTTTTTTTAAGGTTCCGCATTGTGGCATTGAGGATTTAAAACTTATGTAAAAAATAAATAGAAGTCACAATGATAAATACATACGGTTATGTACACAAAACACATGTACACTATAATTACACAAAAAAATATATATAACGTTACACGAACGAAGATTTCTTTTAATATAATGCAGTAATGTGAAACATAGCTCAGTCATAAATTCATACACTCACAGATATTTCATTTCTGCATTTGGAGATTAAATCCATTTGTTGCCTTTTTCGACATATATATCAATATCATAATAGTCTATATTTATTATTATTAATATATATTAATTAGTCTAATTATGTTATTATAATATTATATTCATTGTACATGGCACGGTCACTCCTATCACACATCCAAAACAGCTAAGCTAGTCAGTCAACTGTGGGACTACAAGCGCTGAAGTGTGAGAAACTTCAGACGTGCTTACCAAAAGTTAACTGACTGACTGGGGGACTCATTAAAGCTTAAACTCGAAAACCTTTATCTAAATTTATGAAAATCACACTATTAATATGCTAATGAAATATTGTAATCTCCATAAATTTGAAGTTACAAACTCTAAACGCAAAACAAGGCGATTTGGCACAGGTCGGCGTTTTTCTACATTCGACGCAACCAATGACAGAATGGCATTATACGCCATGTGGCGGTCTTCATAATCTGAAAAGGCCGGGGAGTTACCCAGAGACAAAACAATATGCGTATTTTTTACTGCAGTGATAAGCTTAAATAGTACTGGTATTAAAGTAAATTGATTACTAATACATTGACATTAATTTTAGAATTGCGACACAAAAAAGCAGACAATTTTTAAATTTGGCAAGAACACTCCCTTCAACGCCCTCGCCACACCCACAAAACACTTTAGTTGCGTCATACAAAATTGGAAGGACCGTTTGGGGTGGCATTATGTGCTGATGGTGTAATATCCAGCTTGCTGTGCTATGTCCTCGCTACTATCATTATAAATGTGGCTCTTTTACCATATAAGAAGTGCTTTAGTGGCTACTTTCGTCCCGCCACATTTGCTGAGGATTTCCCTTTCTTTACGCATTCGAAAATGCTTTGTGAATACTTGTATACCACGCCACCAAATTCAAAACATTATAATGAAATTTCACAGTTCATGACTTTTCCGCTACAAGAATACAATGTTCTTTCCTCGCCATGGCCCTAAATGCTTCATTAGGTGGAAATGACCGCTTTGAGTTTGACTTACACTGCGGTTTTACTTAACACTTCCCGCTAAATGTAAGAAACTGAAACTACAATTATTATCAGTGATGTTTTTATTATCATAAATGATACTTAAAATATAAAATCTTATTTCCAATGTACAGAAAATGGAACAGTCACAGTATCGTGAAAGAACTTAATTTAATCACTGAATGAATTTCATAGAAAAGATATCATAGTGAAGAAGAGGCAAGTTTAAAACTAACTAGGTAAATCATTGTTATAAAAAAATCATTATTTAGAACCTGCCAGCAGGTTTGTTGAAAAAGTTTTAATAAAAACACATTTACAAATAAACATAGATGAACAACGATAGTTGAGGTTCGGGACTGACATTTGATTCGTTTTAATCTGAAAGCATTGTAAAATAATTTAACATTGTACACGTTGGCTGATTTCATTTTGATTTGAAGTAAGGAAAAAGTTGAATTCAATATAAATGGAAGAAGTAGTAGAAAATGCACAGATCATATAGATACAAATATACAATCAATCCCCATGATTATATAGTAAAAGACAATCTTACCATTTTGTAAGATGTTTTACGTAACCATTGGTTTTTTTACTGATATGGAACAAGTTATTCTGTCTAGAAGTATTCGTATGCCAAGCCACTTTATGGAATATCATTTTCTAAAGATGTGAGAAATTTCTAACAAAATTGTATAAAAATTGGGATATACAGAAAACGCACAAAATATTTTAAAAAATGGAAGCAACAATTGGACCTAACAGTATAAAAAAATCCAATATTTTGTTTAACATGGTTGAAATCGTGTTCTTTGGCACTTTATCACTGGAAGAAAAGATACTGTGGTTGCAAATTTGCATATATTAGATGTGAAATTCACAGTTAAATAGTAATGGTCTTTCCTGATTGGCAGAGGCTTTTTAAACATTTTTGATATGCGCAACTAATGTTTTTTAAAACAATGTGACTTAATCCACATCTTCCTTCTTGTCTGGCTTTCTTTTCTTTTTATGCAAAATAAACCTGTGATTAAGGAGTTCATTTGCTGTCGGTCTGTCATCAGGTTTCCTGCAAAATCACAAAAGATTGAGATAACAAAGTCACACAGAATTCTCTAAAATATGGTTATCGCATATCGCAAAAGAGTCCTAGCAGTTGATGCATCATGCTAAACACATGAAATGTGTTTTTAATTTGCACCATCAAATACCCCATGATATTTGAATTTTGTATCAAATGATTATGTGCAATAGGATTGAATAATTCCCCTTTGTTGCAAGGTAGTTTACAGAACTGCTGGTAAATTTTTCTCCATAACACTTGAAGTTCATGCCAATGTAAGTGACAAGACAGATTTATGAGCATAGCTGGCTCAGGGTGTCTGCATTAGAATGAGCGTGTGATAACTTGTCTGTTCTAAGCCAAAGACCGACAGGATGAATCCCTTGACAGAAAACCCTTGAAGGCATTGTCCATAATTGTTGTTGAATAAGAACTTACCTTATCAAACATTTTCTAACAAAGTCAACTGCTGATCTTGAAAATTGTGGTCTTGGCAATTCCGGCATTTTGTTACCATCACCAATGTAATACATTGCTTGATAAGGCTCCTTGTCTCGAAGAGGAGGCTTTTTTGTTGCCATTTCAAAAACAGTACATCCGATGCTCCTGTCAATATCACAGTATGTAATAAACATATGTGGAATGACACAGAAGTGAATTTACATTTTTGTGTCCTTACGACAAAGTTGCATTAAGGATCGGATTTTCATACATATCCCAAAGAGGAAAAATAAAAGAAAACAAGTTATCAATCTACATCGAATATGGAAGTAAGAGCTCACAAATCAAATTGGGAACACTTAGCAGTTTTTTAGACCTAGCTATGTTAGTGTCAAAATTCAATGATCTTGGATTAAAAACAACTAACTCCACCTCACCCAGGATGAAATAAAATTGAGTAGGCAATGCAAACTGAAACAAATTCCATAAAAGATACTATGAATAAACTATTGCTTGTGTAGAGCCTTTTGCAGAGCAAAGGTGTGCAGACGGATTGTGAAACCATTGCAGATGCAGAGGCATGGTTGGCAGTGAAGTCCATGTCGGGTATAGGATTAGTCGGCATTAAGACTTGATGGTGGAAGAAGCCATAACCGACCAGTGGTTACGTGAACAACCCTTAGGCAGCGAGGAGTCCAGCAATTTTCTCGCAAATAACTATCCCCACATGGAATTTGAACCTGCAAACTCATGCGGGGTAATCAGTGGTGCAGTGGTGAACGCATTCCTAACACTTAGCATGACGCGCAACACCGCCGAGTTCAGTAATCCTAGTGTAAACACTTATCCCGTATGGATGGTGAGCTTGCAATATTCTACCAAGGTTAAACAAATAGTGATTAGTGAGTCTTAGATAACTCATAATATACAATTCAAAAACACTCAAAAGACAAAATTTAAACAAATACCAAATATCGCTTTTTGGTCCGTGCCCTTCAGAAGTTATAACTTCTGGTGCCATCCAATATGGTGTACCACGTAATGATTTTAATAATCTTCCATCATCGCTATTCTCTGATTCTCTTTTAAATGAATTCTCTTTCAAACGCTTTGCACATCCAAAATCAATGAGTTTGATTATTCCTGATGTCATCAACATCACGTTACTGCCCTTTATATCTCTAACAATAGAAAAAAACAGTTTCAAAAAAGCTCCATCATGTGATTACCAAAATAAAGTATGATTCGATGTTATACCTGTGAACAACAGACGATTCATGTAAATACTCAACACCGTTTAAAATCTGTTTGGTGTATTTTCTGAAGATTCTTTCTTTCAAAGGACCATATTGCTGCAGAATTGATGATATTGATCCACCAGCTATATGTTCCATGAAAATCAGGACCATATTTCCTTCCAAGGATGTTCCAAGTAAGCTAACACAAAAATATGAGAAATAATAATAATTGCAAATAAGCAGTGGGTTCTAGTGACAAATAAATATCTTCCAAAGACTGTACACTAAAAAGCAATATTTATTTTCCACGCCTGTGCATGGTAGATACCACACAGAGTATCCAGGAATAACACCTCTGTATATTTCATTCTCAAAATTATTTCGAACACACCTCTTCAATGTAAAATTCAATGGCAATTATTTTGCTGTTGAATTTTTTCATTAGTCCATAAAGTTTTTAAATATTTCACCAAAGAAAATATTATCAAAATACATTTATTGCTGTTATGTACCGGTGGGTCCCATCGTTTTAATAATATTATTCCTTTTTTACAATGGTTTTTTCATCATGTTAATATTGAAAATATGCATTTGCATTAGGATAGGATTTTCATATGTAGCTCAGAGAATGCGAAAGCGTATAAAACGGTCTGGCAAAACACAGCCTCTCATCCAATCCAGACTTCACCAGCAGCAGTTGTATCAATGAAAATTTTGTTAAATAAAATTCAGATCAAAGCAACTTACCTGACAATATTTTCATGTCTTAATGCTCTAAGTAAATCAACTTCAAGTTGTATTTGTTTGAACTCTTTCTCTGCAGTTTGACGATCATGTACAGGTAATTCAACCTGCTTTACTGCAATCAACTGTCCATCTCTTGTAAGACCTTCATACACCTGGAGAAGGCAATGGAAATAACAGCATGGCTTGGGGTTGTAGTGAGACTAAGTAATTTTATGTTACTCAAAAGTAAAAATGAAAAGCATGTATCGCTTAAGAAGATAGCCTCTTCAAAATTATACTATTCAATGAAATTATCCCTAGTAATTAACCATTTCTGATAGAATTGAAACACTTACAGATGAGGATTTGTACATGAGTGATAGCAAATGGCAAGCTTTCAATAAACTAATTTTATTTTGGTCTTTCTGACATAAAACGAAACAACATAAAAAAAAAACGAACGAACAAAAAATCGCAGAGTTACCTGGAAGATGAGCACAACTTGGGACAAAATTAAAAACGTGTAAAAAAAGAATGTGTCAGACTACCAAAATAAATGAAAGCGCATAGTAAAACAAACTGACATGATATAAAATCGAGCAATAACTTTCAAATCAATTTAAAAACAGATTATGCAGCATTCCATTGTGAAAGTGATAGGTTTGAATCTTTCATATAATAATCATGAGAAAAATGTATTTCCTGACTTTTTGCTGTCACTGAATGATTCATACAAGCATCATTTCACTAACTCAGGGTTTCCCAAACTTTTTGCACTGTGGACCCTGTTTGTGAATCTTAGTTTTGACGGACGCCCATCATATGGCGTATCAATTTCTGTGCCTAGCCAACAAGGAAGGATAATGTTTCATTCACAACACAACACAAATGACATTAAAGTAATGGCTGAGGTTGCTTTTCACTGCACAATTCATCGATTCTCGGAGCAATTTGTGACTAGCAAACTCGTAGGCCAACTCTACGACAAGTCTTGACTTGTATTTTGTTACCATATTGTTAGAGCTGAAATTGCTGCCTCACACATGTAGGTCGTTGCAGAGAGCAATAAAATTTTAATTGCCTTTTCTGACAGCAATGGATATTCGACCGCAATGCTCAAAAAAAAAATGCATTGGCAATTAACAGGTTAATATATTCCCATACTTATCCTGGAATGGTAATCAGACAAAAAGCCATAGTTTACCATATATCTTCCATAGGATACTCAGACTTCTGCTCCTATGTAAGTCATGAAACTCAGCTTTTAACAAAATTCAAATGAGTAACAAACAAATTCTGATTCTCACTGTTCCATATGATCCATGTCCAAGCTCTTTTCCTTTTCTCCATCCCAAACATGCAGCAGTATCAAGCTCAGCTTTCATTGTGCTGTCAGAATTCTGACTATATTCTGTTGTTTTTGTGAAAGCAGATGCTCTTGATTGCATATTGAGCTGAAAATTAAAGATTAAATAATAATATAAATCTCATAAATGTTACAAAGTAATAAAGGGTGATAAGAAAGGCCTTGACACTTGGCATATCATGATAAGCAGTAAGCACTATGAGCAAACTTGCCATCGTACTTCTAAGTATCCACTATAAGTTCGCAGGTTCGAATTTCGTTGGGGATATAGGATCGCTGAGGAATCGAACATTGGGTACTCCTGTAGAAGGCAACCAAGATGGCAGACACCGAAACGTAGTATGTATACCAGGTTAGGGTTAGGCCATAATTTTATTCCAATTTTCCTTATTTTAGTTCTATTACGAGTTCGAGGACTAGCCAAGTGACTCTCGTAGTATTTGTACCTGAAATTATGGCTCTACCCTAGTTCGTCATATGATTAAGCCATCTTATCAACTTTCCTCTTAGCGAATAAATATGAAAATCATATCTTATCTTATAAGATCACATGCCAAATCAAAACTTCAGGTTGAGAGCTTACCGAATAAATCAGTAAACAGAGTAAGAAATATTAGGATCAGTTATGCCAAATTGAAAAGTTCTGCTTTTCAGCCAGAAGAAACAACTTGTTTATTGAACTTTTGACAAAAAAGGAAGAGAATCCCGACAAATCCATGTTGAACATACATACCCTATCTGATACTTTATACTTTTGAATATGATACATGGAAGATGATTGATTATTTTCTTCTTGTTCTGAAACTTTCTCTTGTTCTTTATTGTGTTGTCGTAAAGTTTGTTGAGTTAATTTAAGACCTTTGAACGATCCAGCGGAATTTGGTCTAGAATCTTCATCATCAAATTTATTTTCGTTATCTGAAATTTTAAGAGAAAATATCTTGTAAGCTTGTCGATTAAAACTTTTCCGTACATGCATTCCGTACATGCAAGACAATTTTTTTTCAAAAATGGGATAAAAGTACCAAGACAACTAGTCATTTTAAATCATATATCTAGTAAAAAAATATTCAAGATCTAGCCTGAAAATGAATTTTTTATAACCAAGCTAAGACTATTATTTGTTTACAAACTTGCTTGCCTAATTAACCTCTGTAAACGTTATCATTGGTGTAAAAAACATTTGTCCAGAAGATTGAGATAAGAATTAACAGGGATGATAAATTCAGATTGGCATTGCATTCGCAATTCTGTTGTAAATATGACTTTAACATACTAATTAGATACACATTTGGTTATGTTGCATGTTGTTCATTCTAAAATTGATGTTACGAGAATTCATTTAAAGATAGACAACATAAAATAGCGATTTGATTCAGAGAACCACACAACAAAATTGTGAGCAACCTTTCCAAATGAAGCTTACTTTAAATGCAATGATTATTTATTAATATACTGTGACTAAAGAATGGTGATTATATAAACATTTGAGGGTATGATCACTGCTACACAACATGTGAAATATACCAACATGGCTAACTATAACCAACAATGCTAATTGAAGATAATTCAACCAGGCCAAGAAGCAAATACGCAGAACGGACCTAATACTATATTAGTATTTTCTTCGGTTTACCTTCAACTGTATTCTCTGAATCTGATGGCGCTTGCAATGTTTTTTCAAGTTCCAGCATAATTTCTTCATCATCAGAATCATTATTTTGAAGAGATGAGAAATTGTCCATATCATCCACAGATTGAAATATTTCATTGGCGTTCATATCATGTTTTTCATCTATATTTTGGAAGGGAATATCTCCAATAAGAGTGTTTTCGGAAGAATTAGTTACACAACTGGGGAATCGCTCAAATGGAACAAAATCATAATTTTCTGGCATTTCTTCATTTCCGTCACTAGATTTAAAATTTTCATTTTTGCTGTAATGATCTATTGTACTGCTATCTAGCTTAAATCCCTCACTTTTCCCGAGGAAATCTTCAACTTGATTCGGAAAATTAACTTTTTTCAGCGGAACTGAATCTCTCGAGATTTGATCAGTAACAGACTGTGATTGGGAATTGTCTTCACCGAATAGCAATGATAATACTCCTGGTTCTAGCACAGGTGTTTTATAATATTCTTTCCAATATTTTGTTTCAAGTTCTTTCTCTGTTAGAGTTCCTATATCTGTGTCATTTTCTGAAGATGCGTCACTGTTTTCTTCATAATCATTTTCGTCATTTGATTTTCTATAATTCATTAATGTATGAGCATCAAGTTCAGATCTTTGTCGCATGGATCGCATTATTTTCTGCAATTTTGCTGCGACGTCAAGTTCATCTTCATCTGTTTCATCATTATCTTCTTCACTTTCATTATTTCTTTCACCTTTATCATCAGAAGGTGACCGACTTTCATTCAGAATTGAATCTGATAAAAGTAAAAGAAATTTGAAAATTGCACAAAGATTTTATAAATCTAAACTAATCATCGGTAATAGAACATTTTCATAGGAAATATAGGACATATTGCCTAACCTAGCTGTGACTGCCACCAGGTAGTTCTATATCGATGATATAATGCACACAGTTAGTTTAGGTAAATATCATGATAAACATGATTGTATTCTCTTAATTATTGGGCTTATTGACATACTACTCAATTTTTTATGCCAAGATTTGATAAAAGCTTCGAATCCTATAGATATGAAAATGTGTGATAAGAGTTTGATTTAACAATCATTACCAGTCTAAGAATCCTAATCGAATCTCAAGTGGTAACTTGCGCGAGAGGATGCCTTTCCTCTATTCGACGATGAATATGAAATCCCATTCCATTATACCCTTACCCTTCTCAACACTATATATGTGTGCTTTTCAATGCTTTGATGAAGTAACAATAGATGAAATTAAAAAAAAATTATGAATATTATTGTTGTAAAAAAACATTATTTTGAAATTGGGTAATACCTGTATCAGCAGATTCCACAACAGGAAGAAACACTTCATCAGTATCACCGAGTGATTGCTTCGATTTTTCTCCAGAATGTGAAAACGAAAATACCAATTTTTCATCTTTTATAATGACATCAGAACCATCAACGTTTTTTATTGCAATAAACTGAGGATCGTCCAACAAGTTTTTCGTTTCAATGTCTTTAAAGCAGTCAATTTGATTGGAAGGTGAATGTTTTATGGAAGGATTATCAGGCAGTGGTATCTCCTCTATACCATACTCATTTGGTGATGAACAATTTCTGACCATGGCATTTGTAATTAATTTAACATTGTTCGATTCGTCTGCTTTCTTAGTGAAAGGGTTAATATCATCTTGCAAATTTTTGTTTTGTGTTGGGTTTTCAATATCAATAGCATTTATGTGTAAAGTGTCTTTCAACTTATCTTCTATTGATTTCTCAGAAGCGATTTGATCTGTGTTTGATATCTCCCGACGTGATTTATCGATATTAGTTGTATTTTCATCGTTACGGAAAAGAGTTGAAGAGTTTGTTCTAAGAGAGCTTTGCCCACTGCTGCAAACTTCTTGTATTGGACTTAATGGTGCAGTGTAATTTTCATTAGAAATTTCACCTTGTGTGAAAAGGGTTAATTTGTCATTGATAGTGGATGACGTGTCACCTGCACCATGATTTTCTTCTAAAACTAGTTCTGTACCCATTTCTGATTTATTTTCATAATTTTTTGCTGCAACAACATGCCAATCTGGTCCTGACAGAATAGCATGTTTCAAAGGATCGAAATCTGCTGGTAATTCATTTTCAGGTTCAAATTCCGGAATGTATTTTCCTTTTCTACCCTTCTTTGGTCTACCAGATTGCCTCAAGCCTTTTTCTATAACAAGTCCTGCAGAGGTTGCCCGTACAATTTTATCGCTGTTTTGTGGATTTGTCACACAAATTTCATTATCACCAGTCGGGGTTTTACAATCTCTTCGCTTTTTATTGGCTGACTGGGTCTTCGGCTTTCTAGCTGATGCTGATTTTATCCGCCGTGGGTATGACACATTTGGAACAGTTACTCTCACTTTATCTAGTAAGTTTTCCTCATCCTCGTCACACTTAGGATACGCCTCCACAATCACCGGTGTACTAGCCATTGTACTCCTCTGAGAGCTGTGGTCATTATCACGTTTTGATTTCACAGCGGGTGAGTTTAAACGCTCCTCTATACGACGTAACGTCTTTTCTGTTCGTTTTTCATACTCGAGGCCTTTAGCTATCCGTGCTGACCGTTCGTTTTCATTTTTGTTTCCATTGGATTTTTGCTCTGCTTGTTTGCTCGCGGTAGGCTTCTGCTTCGATTTATCTGGTATTGTACTTCTTGCTTTCTTTGGTTTCAAGTTTGATGGTCTTGATCCCATAGTGTTTGTTACTTTCTTTGGTTTTGCTTTTTGTTGTGTTTTTGATTTATCTGAGCTCATAGATCTATCACGATCGTTACTCAATATCTGACTTTTGCTTTTACTTCTTCCGGGTCTCATTTGATTTTTATTTAATATGTTCGATACTTTTGATAACACTTTCTTTGGAGGTTCGTATAATCTGTTTGTTGCTTCAGCAGCTCTAGATGATAACGATGTCTTTTTTGCAACAGAATTAGATTGCTTCACTTCTACCTGAGATATATGTTCTTCAGGTGGTGTTAAAGTAATTGACACTGCACTGTCTTGCTCTGAAACAACTAATTTAACTGAGGTTTGCCTCTCAAATGGGTTTATTTGTTTGTCCACACTTGATATTTTATCAGAAACCTGCAGTGAAAAAGTACCCTCGTCTTTATTAGTCAAATATTCCATGTTATTGGAGTTACCGTTTGAAAAAACATTCGTCGAGATTTCTACTTCACCAGTATTTACTTTTTGTGATTCGTCGTCCCTTGTTATTGACTCAGCAAATATCGGAGATGCTGCTTCGAGTTCTTCGAGACTTACAAAGGAGATTGGTTGCTTTATGTCAATACTATAACCTTTATGACTCTGGGAAATGGCACATTCATCTACAATATTGGAATTTGAGATTGTCTTCTGCATTTCTTCTTTAATGGGTTCTGTTGAACTACCACAAATGCTTTTGTTATTACAGTTGGAATTATTGTTTCGGTGTGACATTTCCATATGATTTGTGAGGCGTTTGACTTCAGTGTCCTGAATCCCATTGGCGTCACTGACATCAGTATCTTTTTGAATTGTTGTTTTCTGTATTTTATGCTGGGAAAAAGCCGTTTCAGCTCTTAAAGCAGGACTAATGAGCCCTGTACCTGGCCTTCTTTTTTTCATAGTTTTGGACGTTTTCAACTGATCGTGATCATGTAAACCAACATAATTATTTTGAGGTTTTGAAGAGAATGTGTAAGCTGGAGGTGATGTCCCAGATGGAGAATATCTTAGATTTAATAGTATGTCAGCCTTAGCAGGTCCAAAAATTTCTGCATTTTCTCTTTCTATGTCTTGGTCTTGATCAACCATATTTTCAGAAATGCTTTCATCCATTTCTGGCATTAAACCATTTCTTGATGGTGGTCGTTTACATGTGCTGTGATAAGATATAAAATTTATAGTCTGACACCCATAAGATAACATGAAAGAATTTATTTATTGTAAAACAAACAAGCATTTGCAGGCTTTTTACAACTTGGTATACACTGGTTTATAGCAAACTGAAAGTTTATATAGTACTAAAAATAACAGTATTACCAAACTATAATAGGTTATAATTATATTTAGTTCACAAGCACTCAGACATTATTTTGTGTGAACTGAAATTCTAATTGAAAAAAATAACAAGGATCCAATCCTCTAAGACCTCAACTCGATACACAATATATGGAGGTATACCTCCTTCAATAGTTGTGCCAAATATCACCTAGAGTTTTACAATGAACATAAAAGCACATTGAGATTTATGCTTAATTCAACACCACAAGTTAATCGCCTTAATACCTTGCGATTGGATCAAGAGATTGTCTTCTCTTCGGCATAAATTGCAGTAAGCCTTCATCTTCAATTATAATTTGGGGCGTGGAAGTACGATGTCTCAGTGGTTCAAGCTGTGGGGTTCCTGGATGACCCATACTCACTGGAACACCGGATGAATAGAGTGGAGGAGATATTCTGTCAGATATTTCTTCTCCATTGTTATTTAATACTGTCGGTTTATGAGGAATTGGATCCAGGATTCGACTTCTTGTGCTTTGACGAGACGAAAGTCTTGGAGTATTGGCACGACTTCCGAAAGGGCTTACTGCAATTTAAGGTCAAAATTGCGATGATTTGTACAATAAAAGTATTAATGAGCAACTAAGTGAGTCCATTAACACCAAAGAAACTTTTAACACCAAAGATTACTTTTACTCTCAAAGTTGGCTCTCGTTGGTTGATTATGCTTGGAATGATTTTGTGTGGAAAGATTTCTGACGGCTTTACCACCAGAGAGTAATTACCACAAAATTCTAGATAGTAATGTTCATCCACCATCAAAGCCCATACACCTAAAATAGTTACCTAACTACCGTAGTTAGCTATTGCGATATGCAATCTTTGCTCATACGTAGATGACAGACAGCTATACAGTTGACAAGTCTTATTATCAACTTTCCTCTCCCCAAGATAAGTAGAAATTATCTTAAACTTACGGTATATTCTAAGAAACTTGGATATCCATGTCTATAAAATGATTTATTGTTGTATTTTAAATGGTTTTGATCTGAATGCAGAATTATTGTGAAAGGCAGTTTTGAATTGTAATTTTTGACACTTTCATTCGACCAAGTTATATGCTATATGGTAATAGTTTTTAATCTAAAATTAAGAGCAATTATCGTAAGACAATATTGTACAACATACTTTGTTCTAAGTCAAACAACAGAGTGCTTCTTCTCATTTCACCAGGAGTTGATGTTCGAGATTGATGTTGATGAAGAGGTTGAGTATTTAGATTCAAACTGCTCCTGCAAAATCATTACCAATATTTTTCTTTTAGTTTTAGCAAGATGTAGTTTTCCAATTTTATATTCACTAAAAACTGACAAGGTAAAAGGCAATTTAGCATTCTATTAATAATAAGCTTCACAACTAGTATTGTTTTATGGGATAGTTTTCGTGCCTTCACTCTGAACAAAGCTTGGCTAATCAGCTACCAATGTCTAAGAAACTTTAGGTTTGCAAAGACTGGAATCATACATTCTGGTGTCACATTGCTTACCTAATTCAATAATCCTGGGTGAACTGGTGAGAATAGGCCTCAACTTAGCAGATTGGATAAGCTTGAATTGAAAATGGGCCCTCTATCGCACCTCATGGATTTAACTTTCAAGAGAAATGCGGTAATTATGTCAAAAAGGATTGCTGGACTCTTTGTCGTTGCATGTAACCATTGTAGAGTTATGGCTTCCTTCACCATTAAGTCTGAATGATGAACCCGTTTCCAGACCCATTTTTGACCAGAAACTAATCAGAAGTAAGTGGCCTTGATGCCTGCTCGTCCCCACCCCCCAGGATAACTATGATACCAATATAAGATATTACTAAAAGTTGATTTTTCAATACTTTGTTTTTCTCAGATGACTTCTTTTATTCTCCCACATTGGTGGAAGGTTGGAATATCGAACTCCGTTCAGTAGTGACGATTCATTATCTTGTTCTTCTACTGATACTAATCTGTCAACTGTTAAAGAAAACTTTCAATGAAAATATATTCATATTCACTTCTTAGCTTAGAAGGTTTATTCAGAAGATTAATATGCCCCTATAGTATAACAATAGATGGATGACAATACTAATTCTATATACAAATACTTGAAACGTCATATCTAAATTTGGATATTGATAATTTCAACAATGGTGTTTTGCTCCACAGATTTCCAAATTTATTGTAGTTAAGCAGAAAACTAGGCTATATTTTATCTGAATCCAAATAAATACCCTTTTATTAAAGATTTAAAATACCAAAAATGGACAAAAAATTCTTCATTATCACCGACATTACTGAAATTAAAGTTTTGAAACGAGTTTTACATAAATTAGGTATTAGAATATATTTTCTTCATGAATTTTTTTTTTTAAATTCCTAATAGAAAACACGGTATTGTATAACGCAATGTGATTAAAGTGTTCTCAACAATGACAACAAAAACAACAACATGGTGTGACCATCATTGGTTGATCAATAATAAAAAATCACGTCTATATACAATACAGACTATAAATCCTAAGTGATTCGATAGTCTTGCTGCACACTAACCCAAATATACTTCTGTAACGTTTTGGCTGACCAAGGTCAGATTACCCAAGACATATATACCGGTAGTTTATAGCCTTTTTAGTTGAACTACCGGTTTGTATGTCTGAGGAAGTCTGACCTTGGTCAGACGAACATTACAGATATATATTTGTGTTAGTGCGCAGCAAGACTATTGAATCACTTGGGATAGTTATCTTCACTCTTGCTTCAGCATCCTTACGGATCCACCGGCACAAAAGCATAGAAGACGAAGAAGTAGTTGGTCTTGTAGAAACCCAATCGATAGCACAGAATATAAATACCTGCATTATTTGATTGTTTCAACATATCTTGAAAATTAGGTGAACTTTTTGAATTCAATAATGGTTGTGATAAGGTTCTGGAGTTTCGCTTTTGTCTGTGCTTTTCGTGTGATGATCGATTACTATCTCTATGATTGTCCTGTAAAAGCCAGTTTATGTTATGAGTTTTATCACAGCCAGATTGAGTGTTACACTGTATAAGAGGGTACCGCATATTTTTGAAAAAAAAAAAAAAACATTGCAATTTCATTCACATTCTAAAACACAGTATCTATTTATTCGTCCAGAAAATGGCAGTAACCAGTTTCTTTAACCAGTATAATTTGAAAGAAAGTTCGACTTCTATCAATGCTGCTTATAAAAATTTGATACTCGCCTCAGATAATGATGATTTTTTCCTTGGTGATGGAGAATCTGACTCGATATTACTCATAACATATAATGAATCATGTTTATGTTGAGATATTTCTGGTGTTGATAATGCTCTCCCTCTGTTATGTTTATGAAAATCAGGATCTTGCTCATTTCTAAATAAAATACCACAGAAGTCACCTATCATCATCATTCGCCATAAACCACTTGATTTCGCTAATCAATTCATTTGACAAAATTAAAAAATTGAGTCACAAAATTTTTTCATTAAATGTATTTTTATATTGGCCATTCAGTAATGATAATTAAAGGACTAAAGATCAGTCAGGTTTGACTAATGCATATGTTTTCTTGAACAAACTTGAAGCCTACCTTTACGAAGCATTTTGAATAAAATATAATATACATGTTCACTTACTTTGGATCTATAAAATGAATATTTGATGCCACTTGTACAATTGGTATTGAATGTGACTTTCTAGAAGTTTTAGATGAATGCTCATTATATCCATTGCAATCCTCTGTTTCTGTATTTTGATTCCTGTCAATACATTTAGATGAATAAATAGTTATATCAAAATATTAGATACATATACCTATATTAATCCACAATGTCAGCATGGGCCAACTAATCAATAGATATTAGCATAAATGCAGACTTATATGTACATTATCACTGTATCATCACAATGAAATTCAAAATTTTAAATGACCAATCTCCATCTGCCATTCTAATAAAGCAGGGGTGGCCAATCTCCTTTCGACCGCTATCAACTAAAATCTTCAAAATACCTCGCGATCGACTGATCAGGTTTCGAGGTCATACACAAAAACGAATTAATACTGGATATGCAGATATTCCACCGCTGCCAATAAGCCCGACTCTGTAGGTGCATTCTTAAAGAAATAGCCACAAAAATTTGTATTTTTTATGTTCCATTTGATTTGTTAATTTGATTATGTAATTCAATAAATGTTGCATCATTTATTTAAGATTTATTCAAATCAAACAATATGGATCCAATGCCTGTCTAATTTTCAGTCGTATGCGGGACGCAGCCAGGATTTTCAAGGGGGGAAAAGGGGTTCAAATTCAGAATTTCCGATGCTACAGCTTCTGAAATAGTCGCCGTGATTACATGCGAAACATGCATTTGGTACGTAATAATTTGCTCTATCAGGCTTGCCCAGACTCAAATACTGTATGTGTATGACGTATTTTGTGCATGCGTGTGCAGTACTGTATTCTTTCTGTTTTAAAAGACACAAGCGCTGCATGAAACTGGTTCAAAGTAGTTTTTGGGGTATGTTATTAGATTTACTCAACATCACTCACGATCAACTACTCGAGATGTGGCGATCAACCGATCAGCATGTTGGCCACCCCTGCAATAAAGCAAAACAAAGCTGGTATTGCTAAAGTGTGTCAGTTCCTTAATAAAAACCATAAGAATGAAAAGCTTACATATCATACATACATCAGTACATAGCATACACACATACCTTATATATAATTGGCTGCTTGTATAAGGGCATGTTTGGACTGTAGGTATGAAAAATGAATATTTGTCTGCTAGCTTTACCCAGGCCAGGTGTATGACTGTGAGAATGCCATATGAGAAAAGATACTAATTGTAATAAATGCCTTGTAGTTAGATTGGGCTTATTCAGTTATTCCCCAAACTCGCCTCTAAAGTACATAGTGCAGATGTATTTACCTTATTCTGTATTTGCAGACTTACCTTGATTTGGCAGACGGCTCTGGTGTTACCCATCCCTGGTTTGAATCCATATTCATATTGGTGGATTCAATTCTAATATTTTCCATTGTGTTTGTTCCAGGCATAATCCGCAAGTTTATTTTAACATCTAATTATGATCAACAGTAAGTACAGAAGTAGCCGAAATATACGAAAACAGTAAACTAAATTAAACACTAAATCACAAATTTCATTTTCCCAAGTTTTGTTTACTACGAAACCCGTTGTCATCGAAACAACGTGTTTTGATTTAAACGCAGTCATCCATTACGAATTCGCCATTCATTTCAAATGAGCGACCTGTTTACTCAAAATATTAAATCAAGATAAAATTAAGAATTCGTAGAATGAAAACAACAAAATGTTTACTTAGCTTTTCAATATGTTTAATCTTTATTATTAATGAGCTCATGAACTATGATCTTTTCGTTATGTCACCAACAATGATTGAAATATCGATGTCATTCCATTTGAACTAAAGTTCGTGATATGCAATTCGGGACTATTATCGCTAATATTTAACTGCTTGATATATTTTTATAGTCTATTCTTTACCTTCAAAGTCAACGAAACATTCAATACGTAGTGACTGATACAATTATTGGGACAACTATGCTATCGAATACACAACATTTTCTATTACAAAACAAAATGTCATCGAACTAAAATAACACTAAGGGACTACGGATATTGCACGAAAATGCTATATGATACCTTCCATATAGATTACCAGACAAAAGCCTAACTGAAACAACATAAGCGTTTTTATGCCGTTCGCTTTCATTCATTGTTTTGGCCAGTAGCCGGATATGCCCAATATTTCAGACAAAAGCATCCCGATTTAGAAAATTCACGTGCTGTTTAGAACAAAAAGGGTATGCTGGCTACTGGCGCCCACCACATATCAATTCCTCGAGATAGGTTGTTCTTCCTTACGTAACCTTTCCTGCCAATAAGCGATAATAGCTGACTCGAATACCTTGACTATATCTGAAGATGAAGTTTTTTTCCAACTAATTTTACAATTGATAAGGATTCTAATTGCCATAATGTCGGAAGAGTGAAAAGAGAAATTTTAAAGGTCAATATTGAGTTCTTCTCTTTTTCCAAAAATAAAGGCATTATCGGGTGAAAGCTCTTTGATTTATTCTAAGAGTATTTTAATTCGTAAGGTTAAAATGGTAGAGTATTTCAAATTTAGTCAAACTCATATAACCGACCGTATTTGACTTTTTACCCTTTTAAATGGAAATATTCGAAACAATTCTGCAACATCCGCCGAAAAATGAATGATAGTTTAAGATTGAATGTCAAGGCCCCTGGGCTTCAGCATGCCTTTGGTAAATCAGGAACAGGGTTCTCAGAAGTTTGGTCTGTTTTTCCATTAATTTTAGAATTTCTTCTGTGACCTTTTTTGACAGAAAAATCAATTTGAAACAAAAAATGTTAAAATGAGGATACTGCAGAAAATGGAAATTCTGAACAGCACTGGCGATATGAATTTAACTTTGCAAAATTGCAGGCCAGGACTTCAGTTTTGTAAAATTCTGCCAGGCAGTATCATGGACAGCGTCTGAAATTTTTATCATCACATATCTTAAGACTGGATAAATTGCGAAAAATATTAGAAAAGCTTCAAGTCCCGTGTCCGAAATACTGATTAATACTGATTCCCGTGTACTGATTAAATATAATATTTCGTGTGTAATTGCCTTTTTATATACGAAAACACAAAAGCATAGCGCGAATTTCAGAAATGGGGGAAATTAACTCTTCTGTTGGGGGATACGACAAAAGCTTGGATTTAGAGCCGATTACTGACTTTCGGTGCTTCGGTAGGCTATAGCGTCGAAAGTGTTGAGTATGCGATGGAAGTGGCTCTTCGACATTAATCGGGGTGGTTAAATCGAATTCGAATAAATCAACCGTAAAAAAATTCGCCGTAAGTTTGATGCAAGATTTGACGAATTCGCTAGTTAATTTCATTTCATTATCATTAGTGCTTCATCGTGCTTCTAATCATTGCATTTCTGATTACATCACCTCTGGCAGAGCCCGATTATTGGAATATTATGAACTGCCCTCAAATTTTAATATAAGCAAATCGTATAACAATAATTAGACGTGTTTCCCGTTTATGCAATGCCGCATTATCTCCCACCCAACAACGTTAGTTACAGCTTCAAAACATCAATGCGAAAACGAACATTTAACACCCAAACTGTTTTCTAAAATATAATGGGAATGCATTTAGACACTTGGGGTATGATGTCTTGTATAGTACTCGTATTGCACGACAAAAGCTAGGAATTGCTATATGAAGAAATGAAAAGCACGCTCCATAGATACCTCTTTGTTTAAGTTTGCACTGCGTTCATATGAAATCACAATTTCTATATTACAGGGAAAGTCGTCCGCTTTGATTGTAAGTAGATAAGGATATGAAATGATATTCATTTTATTTGTATTGGTTGATAGATTACTGCATGTTCACACCATGGTTTTGATTAGTGTTGCGTTTATGGAAAAATAAAATTATTTTTCAACACATTTTTAGCAATAAATTGGGCGCTAATTAAGAGTGAGTTACCGACTGATATCTTTACAAGAGAATTCATTTTTTCTCATTTTTCGCTAGATGTCGCTAGTACACAACAATTTGAATACTGTTTGTGTAGTGGTGGAGGGCGTGGTCTAATATTTGTCATTCGACAAAACTCAAGTAACAGCGCTCGACAACACTTAACATCTGAATGCATTGTGGGAGTTTGAAATTCATCCTTTCTGACAACTAAACATATCTAGAATTTTTCGTAAGTATTATATTGCGACAACAACAAATTGAACTTGAAGTCAGATGATGAAGATAAGGGAAAGAGTACCACAGTTCATGTTTAAAAAGGCGCTCACGTGGGTGGAAATATATAATGTTGTTTGCTCTACTCACCGCGTTAAATCTTTCGCCGTTTTGCCTGTTGCCTTTATTAATGTGAGGATAAGCGTTAGCCGCATTCTCTTGTCTTTCCCGCGGCACTCATTGTGGTTGCTGGTCACTTCCCAGTCACAAGCTTTCTCAAATCTGAAGCAGTTCAGTAGGCTATTTTGCTACTCTGCAAAAAGTAAATTTTTGTGTGGCCCAACTAGATGTCTGATGTTGTTTATATGACCCACCGACAAAAATTTTGCTCACCCCTGTACTATACAACCATTTTCAAAGTTGGAAGTGAATGAAATTGTCTTAGGGATAACTATTGCTTTTATTTGTTTTCACTTTGCTTGTATCTGTATGTTCACTTTGTCTTTAGGCTTCACGTATCAAGTTCTTCCAGGAATTTTGATTGCACTTTTAGAAACTAGTTTAGCGCTTTGACTTAGAGTTTATTCCGTTTGTACCTAAATATAATCTGATTGTGGGTAGTACGCGGTCAATATTTTTCGTGACTGATATGAAATGGACTGGGTGGAATAGTAAAATGCAAGAAATATCCCGAGATGTTAAGCTGGATAATTTTGTTAAAATACCAACACATAACAAATTAAGCCGGTTGTATAAACATCCTGAATTGTTGACTTTTTGCAAATTAGTGCAACAAATATTACGCATGTTCCCACGCGTACCCCAATATCTCGTTAGGGATGCCGTTTTGGGGCGTTCGCCCCTCACCTTGCGGCCGCTTGTCGGTGTCAGATTGCTTGCTATGTCTCGCGTCGGTGCCAAAAGAACGCCAGGCACGTTAAACCCCACAAGTGGAGCAGGTAAAACTGTCTGAGTGCTGTTGCGCGACAGCGTCGCAGAACAAGTGTGTCGTGACCCGTGTCCGTAAAACATCAACCTATTCCCTCTGTCAACGCCGATTGCAACGGTATCGTAAAATCGGGCAGAAGTCTGATGTCATCGTAAAACCAATACATCGTAATACAATGAGTGTAGTTTTGCATATAAACAGCGCAAAATAAGCAACCCGCCAAGGAGAAGGATAATTGAGAATGACTAGGAATAAATCCGGTAAAAAACTATCTAAGATAAAAGTTGACAGAACTTACTAGCCACTTTACCGGTCAATTGATTTTGCTATTAGTCATTCACTCACCACGTCGGTGTTATTGCTGCAAAATTGTGGACATTCCAGATCACAGTATCTGTAGTTTATCAGAATAACGTCGGCATGTCGGGGATGCAACAAAGATGTAGTGAAATAATTATCGGAAAGGTTTGCGAGTATGGTTTGAAAAACGACTACTGTCAAAACTACTCTCGTTGATAGATTTGCCAGGAAACCTAAAACTGTGGTAAGCAAACAATTAAGCACTCTATCTCACGTATTGCCAAGATGGGGTGCTTGGTGAAAAATGGGTGATAATGAACAAGTGCGAATGGGTGATTTTCCGAAAGTAATTCTAATTGTAAGTATTTTCACAGAAACAATTTTTGAGTATGTTGCTGCGTTCGATGATGTAAAACGAAATCCGCGTAAAATTGGGCGATAACAAAGACAATGATGAATAACCATCGAATGGCTCACTTTTAGAAGTTACGGACGAACGAATCTGCCGTTTTTGTTTTGTGGGGTTTTCGGCAACGTAATTCTCTACTGGGAAAAATTTGGATTCAATCGATTTACAATGTGTTCGTATTTCAAGTATCGACAGTCTTTGGTAACGTGATCCACACCGCCACATGGTGAACGTTCACCTCGTCACCCCGGTTAATTGCATTACACTGCTCACATATGCCCGTGAACCACACGCAGAACAGTTACCCATAACATCGCTTACCATTGTTTATCCAATTTAACACCTAAAGGGGCGGAAATGCAGTCGGTAACAGATTACCTCTCTCCCCCTACCCCGTTGCTTATCTCTCAAATTGACTCGCCGTTTGCGATTCATCAAATTTTCTTTGCTATGATTTCGCTTTATTTGTTTACTGTGCGATTGCGCTGCGAGCAGTTTCCCATGACCCTTCCAGCCCCAACACCCAACGATTGTGCATTTGCAGTCGCTTTCCGGCTTAACGTCTCTGTTCATTAGTAAGATTAGCGATCGCTCTGCTACCTTACCGTACGTTAATAGCAAATTACGCGCATAACTCACTGATATTTGACGTATGGGGTTACTTTGGTCATTTCACTCAACCTATCCCCCGCATAGAACTATCGCTCCGCTGCGCATGAACACGTATTTCTATTTATCT